TTTTGTGTCAATATCCTCAGTCCAAATTAAGTGTCTATCATTTAAAATGAATGTATATGCTCAAGAATTATAGATAAAAGATGCACAAGGACTTAATAAATGTCATACGGATATGTGATTATGATATTTCTATGTGGCTACGGATAATTGAGCTATTTAACATATCGTGAACAAGTATGCATGCCTTCACAATTAATCACAAGCCTAGTCATGATTTCTAACTTGAATAAGAGAGCCAACGTAGTCATATAAGTCAAATAAATCATGAATCAATTGAGCACGTAGACAAAACTGGGCATACAATATTCCAGCTCTACCTCGGTCATGATAAAAACTTGGTAAATGCATATACTCTCGCCACCACGTATATACACTACCCTGAATACCTTAAACACATATCAAACAAGTCAAATTCTAGGGGTTTCCCTTTTAACAAGGTTAGCCAAGAGACTTACCTCTTTTTGGGCTAGCTTCAACCGTAAACCGCATAAAAGTCACGCTCTAGCCCTCCAATCACACTAATCCAAGCCAAACATCATCCAAGAAAGTCAAACAATGCGATAGAAAGAAATCTCAATCCATAAAGCTTCGATCTTTGAAGAATTCCCAAAAAGTCACCTCGGGCCCGTGTGCCCGAAATCCGAAAGCAATACTAAAATTCGATGACCCACAACCTGCCGAGTCCAAATATATAATTATTTTCCAAATTCGGGTCCAAATCGATGGTCAAAACCCCAAATACTCTCTATTAAAGGTAGGCAAAAAACCCAAATTTTCTTCTTAAACTCGAAAATCAAATGCCAAAATCAAAGATAGAATCATAGATAATAATCAAATCTGAGTCAAGAACACTTACCCAATATAAGTGGGCGAAAAATGCCTAAAAAGTCTCAATGAGCTACCAATCTCAAAATCTGATAAAATGAGCTCAAAGTCCGAAAATGACAACTTATAATACACTGCCCAGATGTACCCTTCACGATCACGAAATAGCCTTCGCGATCGTGAAACAAAACGTAACACTGCCCAAGAAAATTCACTACATTATTGCGTCTGAGCCCCGCGATCGTGAAAGCTAACGAACCACAGAAGCGCGAACGCGAGCCACTCACGTGAATGTGGAAGCCGACGAGTCAATCTACCTCCAGTAACACTTCGCGATCGTGAAGTAACGAGCACGAATGTGATAGCCAACTCCACAAACTTATGCGAACACGAACTTACACTGCGAATGCGAGGATTAAATCGCAGCTGCCCAAAAACCTTCTACACGATCGTATAGCTTCACCCTAGATCGTGAAACACATAAGATGCACCAGAAACCAGCATTGCAAGTACAACAAAAATTGATTCGAAACCAACCGGAATCACACCCGAGCCCTCCAGGATCCCATCCAATCATTCTAACAAGTCCAAATTCCTAATGCAAACTTATCCAATGGCTCAAAATACCACAAATAACATCAAAACCAAAAATTATTGACCAAGATCAATCTCTTAAGTTCATCATCCTCCAACTTCAAACCAAACGTCTGATTCAAGTCTAACCAATTAGGAATCCAACCAAACTTTGTGCACAAGTTCCAAATGACAAAATGAATCTATTCCAACTTCCAAAACAACCATCCGACCCGATAGCATCAAAGATAACTCCCAGTCAAATTTATGAACTTTCTAAACCTTCAAATTGCCAATTTTTAATAAATAAAGCAAAACTCTTCTAGGAACATCTGATTTCAAATCCGAGCGAACGACCAAGTATAAAATCATCATATGAACCTATTGAAATCATCAAACCTCAATTTCGAGGTCGTTTATTCAAAAGTCAAACCTTGATCAAATATTCCCACTTAAAGCTTCCGAATTGAGAATCATTCTATCAAATAAATCCCGAACCTTGCGAACATCAAAACCAACCATATATGCATGTGATAATATATCATATAAAGCTACTCAAGGTCTAAAAATTGCTGAATGGAATGCTAAAGCTCAAAGTGACTGGTCGAGTTGTCACATTCTTCCCCACGTAAACATACGTTCGTCCTTGAACGTATCAAGAATCATTCCAAAGGCATCAAATAATGCACAAGCTCATCATACACACACCCGTGAGCGATCACATGCCATCTCAATCCATATAAGTTCATTAACACAATCCGACTGAAGATCATTCCTTCCACTTAGCTTGCCATTCTTAGAATCAAATTCCATCCTCCAGAACTCCTTCTTAGTTCTGATTCTTCCATACATACAATGTATCAGTCTCAACAAACCATAAATATGTTCCCAAGACATAATCACACGAAGTAACCCATCTCTCAGATACCCATAGCGATATATTCTAACCATAATAGCTACTCTTTATCAAACTCGATACTGGCAATGTACCTCATAAAATATAACCTCATCCCAAACCCTCACAATGTTGCAAATGGTGAAAGAAACATACAAAAACTCATAACCACGCATCAAATTAATTAGTCATGGAATTCCTTTGCCCGACAAGTACCACTGCCAAAATTTGAGCTCACTAGTGATATTCTGCTTCAAAACATACCCTATCTAACTTCGATTGCACTATTTTCAGATCCAATAACCTCGTCTCAACCAGTACAAACTGTTCGACCAACAAGCCATACCAAATGTCGTCTAAAACTACATATGATGCAATTCGTGCACCAAATAAGCAACAACCCAAAAGTAGTAAATAACGAAAAGAGAACCAAATGAGAGGACTGTCTAACAAGCCTGACATATTCAATAACGAAAGCACAATGATATGAATCCTTTCCACAAGGTAGAAAAAAACACACAGAGAAAGAACTAGAAGGCATATCCAAATATAATATTGTTGTAGCGTACAACCCGATCCAATCATCATACCGCTCCACACGAGGATACTCATTGAGCCATAATCCTCATGCTCACTAACTACATACATATCAACAACCAGCACATACCGTGCATAATGATCACGTCCAATTCACACCTAAATACGAGTATGAAACGTCGCTGCAATTGTAAAAACCCAACACAAGTCGAGGTCGAATCCATAGGGACCATGGTCAAACTTCAAATCCTTAACTTAACTAGTTTCTCAACCAATGGTCCAAAAGACATCCTAGCTCCTTGGGACCCCATCCAATCATACCAACAAGTACAAATACATCATTCAAACTTATACAAAGCCTCAAAATACCCATGGGAACATCACAACAAAGAATCGAGGCTCAAACCGAATAGAATTTCTCTTAAGTTGTTAAATCTTGATTCTTTCAAAAGAGTGTCTGAATTACACTTAAACACTTCGGATTACTTTCAAACTTTTCACACAAGTTCAATTCAAATAGGTAGACTTATCCAATGTCTCGAAACACCAATTGGATTCCAATGACATCAAAGTCAACTCTTGGTCAAACTTATGAACTCTTATGTTCTTCAAATTGCCAACTTTCGACAAATAGTATCAAATTCTTTCAGGAACCTCCGAAATCAAATTCGAACATACGTACAAGTCCTAAATTATCATGCGAACCTATCAAAACAATCATAACCCGATTCCGAGTCCTTTTATCTAAAAGTCAAACGCTGGTCAACTCTTCTAACTTTAAGCTTCTAAAAAGAGAATCACTCTTCCAACTCAATCCTGAACCACTCGAAAATCAAAACCAACAATACACACAAGTATTAATACACCATATGAAGCTATTCGTGACCTCAAACCATTGAACAAAATGCAATTCTTAAAATGACCGATCGGGTCGTTACATTCTCCCCCACTTAAACATACGTTCATCCTCGAACGTGCCAAGAGTCATTCCAAAGCCATCAAATTACCGTATAAACTTTCCATACACATACCCATGAGTGATCCCACATCACCGTAACCTATATAAGCCCTTCAACACAACTTAACTGAAGATTTTTTCTTCAACCTTAGTTTATCAACCATACACCTAAATTCCAATATTCGAAATTCCTGATACGATCCGATTCTCACATAAACATATTATATAAATCTCAACAAGATATAGAAAATCATAAATATATTCTTGAGATATAACCACACGACTTAACCCATTGCTCATATGTCCGCAACAATATCTCTGACCACAATAGCTGCCCATTACCAAATCCGGTACCAGTAACATACCTCATATCCAATAACCTTGTTCCAAACCTTCATAACACTGCTAATGACATAAGAAACATGTAAAAACTCATAATCACTCACTCAGTGGAAGCTATTCGACTGACAAGCCACACCAAATGCCACCTAGTCATATACAACGCAATCCGTACCCAATTAGTAACAACTCGAATATAGCTGAAGATGGAAAGAGAACCAAATGAGATAACCACCTAACAAGTCCAACAAATACCACCACAAAGCGCAATGTTATGAACCTATCACACGAAATAAGTCCGTTGCGATGCGTGAAGCAGTGGTAAGCTATGGTAGAGGTGAACCTTTCGTGAAGTGAAGTTGGTTTTGCTTTAGGGGTGTAAGAAGAAATTATCTTTTTATTCATAGAGAGCAGCAAAAATATAAGGATATAGAACTGTTGGGTGATTGGTGGAATCCGGTGAGAGGAGAAGATAAAGAAGAAGAGACAATGCCAGTGTGAAAGAAGAAGAGAAGAGTGGCAGTTACGCGGTTAGGTTTTTGGAGTGGATGAGAAGTAAGCCTAATTGCAATAATATGTAATTTAAAGCCACTAATTTAAGGATGGTGGAGCATTTTAGGGAGAGGAAGACGAATTTGTATATGGTGTTCATTAATCTGGAAAAAACATATGATAAAGTCTCAAGGGAAGTCCTATGGAGGTGTTTGGAGGCTAGAGGTATTCATGTAGCATACATTAGGTCAATTAAGGATATGTATGATGGATCTTAGACCCGATTAAAGAAATTGAGAGGAGACTAGGGACACTTTCTAGTCATGATGGGGTTGCAATAAGAATCAGTTCTTAGCCCGTTCTTATTCGCCTTTGCGATAGATGTATTATCGTGACATATTTAGGGAGAGGTTCCATGGTGCATGTTATTTTGCAGATGATATAGTGTTGATTGATGAAACGCAAGGCGAAGTTAATGCTAGGCTGCAGGTTTAGAGATAAACTCTGGAATATAAAGGTTCCAAGCTAAGAAGGACTAAAACTGAATACATAAAGTTCAAGTTTAGTAATGCAACTCATAAAGATGAAGTGGAAGTGAGGCTTGATACGCAAGTTATCCGTAAGAGGGAGACTTTCAAGTATCTTGGGGTAGTAATCCAAAGTAACAAGGAGATTGATGAGGATATCACATATTGTATTGGGACATGGTGGATGAAATCGAAGCTTGCTTCCAGTGTCTTGTGCGATAAAAATGTGCCACCAAGACTTAAAGGCAAGTTTTATAGAGTGGTGATTAGACCGATTATGCTGTATGGGATGGAGCTTTGGCTAGTGAAGAACTCTCATGTCCAGAAGTTGAAAGTAGCGAAGATGAGGATACTGAGATAGATGAGTATGCATAGTAGCAGGGATAGGGTCAGGAATAAAGTTATCCGGGACAAGATAGGGGTAGCCCCCATTGAGGATAAGATGCGAAAAGTGAGGTTGAGATTGTTCGGACATGTGAAGAGGAGATGCCGAGACGCCCCTATCAGGAGGTGTGAGAGGTTGAACATCGTGGGCCTTTGGAGAGGCAGAGGAAGGCCAAAGAAGAATTGGAAAGAGGTGATTAGGCAGGACAAGGCATCTTCAGCTGACTAAGGGCATGATCCTTGATAGAAGGTTGTGAAAGTTGAGGATTAAGGTAGAATATTAGTAGTAGTAGAGCGTAATTTCCTTCCATTCCGGTAGCTATAGTTTACTCTTGTTTTTCTTTTTCTTAGATGTACAATATTATCCAATGTTGCTTCTTCTTCGGTTAGTTACTATCTCGCTACCGCTATGTTTTTTCTATGATTCTTTGCTATTTTTATATTTCAATTTGTTTCACTGTTGTAACTGTACTTGCCTGAGTCGAGGGTTTGTTGGAAATAACCTCTCTACCTACACAAGATAGAAGTAAGGTCAGCGTACGCACTACCTTCTTCAGACCCTACATGTAAGAAGATACTGGATATGTTGTTGTTAACGCCACTAAATATGCAAACCAGGTAATCAAAAGAGAATGGAACTCTTTACTGTGATATGCTTGTTTGGACGACCATGTGAACGTTAAAATTTTAATTTTTCCGCAATTTTCTCCTTTTGCTCAAAGTTCAAGAAATGAATCAAAGCATTTAATTCGTAAAGGGTCTTTAGGCTTGAAAGGGATATTCAAGAAACCAAACGGTTTCGGCCTAAGTCTGAAAACCCCTTACATTTTATGAGCTCTTTTTCTTTCATTATTTGTTTTTGAAGGGCTTAATTTAACTAATAATACCGTAAGTACTAAAATATGGATTTTACATTTTAAAACAAAATACTATATCTGATTTGCCACTAGAGTAACTTTTTACTCCAATCTTTAATCTTGATTTTGAACCATTCAAAAAAGGTCGTGACCATCAATCAAAGTCATGATTTGAGAGTGCTATACGGTATATTAATAAAATTATCTCCGTATTATTATTGGTAACACATGTACCTACTTGGTCTTTTTACAAATAGGTAATGAGAGTTTATCCAAAATTATAACAATCCAATTTCTCGTTTTATCAATTTGTAGTCCACATTTTAGTTTGAGCCTTCGTACACATCAACATTACCATTTGAGGCTTGTTGGGAACTTGGGATGGCTTGGATTAAAATACGAGGGGTTCGGGTAGGTTTCAGCAACATTGGAACACATGGAAAAACTACAAAAATTCAGGTAGACGCTATGGTTGGCGCGTGGTGCTCCCTGTGGCGCTGAGTGCGAATAGTATATGTATCTACTGCACGAACCAACTATGTTATTTCACCTATTTTTGGATTCTTGAGCTCGGTATTAGGAAATTTTGGACTTGAAAATCAAACTTGTGATTGAGATAAGTGTTCGAAACATCCTTTTGAGATTATATCAAGATTTGCGCTAAGTTTCACAATTAAACACATGAAACTTGATGGTGGAAACTAGAGATTTAGGCACTAGCCCTAAAAACACTAAGTTGATGTTTGAACATTTAATGGAATTCGAATGGAAATTTAAGCATACATTTGGACTTGTAGGGTTATCGGTAATCTAGATTCGAAACTTATTTTAAGTTTTGACTATATTGATCTGGTGGTAGAGTTTTAGTGTTGACTTAGACTTTGATCGTGTTTTGAATTATGAAATTGAGCAATAGCTTTATAAACGCTAACTCCTCAAATATCGGATACTACCTCGAATGAAATATATAATGGTCAACACCAGATAAAATGTCACATCTTAAGTCAGAGAAACTCACGGATACACTGACTTCTAATCCAAATATTATGCACGATTCTGCCGAGGTGAGCGGCCCGATCCCATAAGAGTAATAGCACGATTTTTTGTTGTGGCGTATGGTCCGATCCCATAATAGTTCTGCTAAGGCATTCAGCTCGATCCCATAATAATTGCATACATTGTCGAGGGCCGACCGGCGTGAACCATAGATGCATCTCATAATACTACCGAGGTCATACGACCCTATCAATAATAGTACTACTGAGGCGTTTAGCCCGATCCCAAAGGAATAGTGAAACTTAACGGGTCACTGGCCTTACTCACAAATATATGTGTGAGTTATAAAATTTAAGAAACTTTTCGAGCATTTTTGTACGATGGGGGAGAAATCCGTAAAGGAAATATAATTTCTACTGCTAATAAAGTAGCTCCCCAAATATCTAAAATAGTAAGTCCGACAGTTTGCGCAAGCCAAGCCTCAGGAAAAAAGGTAATTTAAAGTATTTAAACAGGCAAGAATAACTCAAATATTACAATTAAAGCATGGCGTGAATCTAAGTCTACCCGGACCTAATCAGGAATTCTAGCAAACGCACGGACACTCGTCACCTTATACGTGCGTAGCTCCCATAACATGTAGCACATATCAAATATAACATCTACGGGATAAATTTTCCCTCACAAGGTTAAATGGGAGACTTACCTTGCTCCGAAATTCGATAACCGGCTCCAACGCCTTTTCAACTCCTCAAACTAATGTCGAACGATCCAAAACTAGTAAAATGACGTGCAAACCAATCAAAATATACTCAATAACTCGTAATTTAATAATTTATAACAATTCCCAACTCCACTCGAAAAGTCAACAAAGTCAACACATGTGCCCATGTGCTCGGATTCCAAAACGTTTGAAGATAAATATTACACATAGCACCACGAACTCAAATATATAATTTATTCTCAATTCCATATTCAATTTCGTGGTCAAAATCCAAAAAATACCATTTCTAGGTTTTTTTCTAAAATCCCATAATTTTTACAAAATTTCATGTTTAAATCTATATAAATTCATGTATTTAACTCACAATGAGTGGGAATCAGTTACCTCATGATAGATGATGAAAATGGCTCCTTCCAATCTCCCAAAAATCACCCAAGAAAGAGAGAAATGAGTTGAAATGAGCAAAATCCCGATTTGGCTAACATATATTCTGCCCAAGCGTTTGTCACGACCCAGAATCCCAACCTGTCGTGATGGTACCTAACACACTTGCTAAGCAAGCTGACAAACACATAACGTCAAAAATAATTGAATGGAACATGCTTAATAACTTAACAGCAAAACACTCTCATAAACATATGATAAAATATCTGAAACTCTACTACAACCACACCAAAATCTGATGTCAGCGAGTGCATGAGCTACTAAGTGTCAACACAGTCTGAAACTCTAGTACAACTGTCTGAGTAATAGAACAGTACTGAATATAATGAAAAGAAGGAGAATCAAGATCTGTGGGCGTCATAGCAGCTATCTCAAAGTCTCCGAGCAGGTACTAGCACCAACCTAATAATCACCGTGTCCATATGTACTCGGATCTACACACACAGTGCAAAGTGTAGTATGAGTACAACTGACCCAATGTACTCAATAAGTATCATAGCTAACCTTGACGAGGTAAAAGAAGAACAAATTATAAATGATGCTAGCTATCACCTGTATAGTTTCATCATTTTAACAAGTATAGAGCAATAATGAAATCAAGTCATAAAGCACAAGAAGAAACATATGTGTGTGTATGTGTACAGTTTCTCAAATACTCTGCTCAGTCAATATCCGGCATATAGAGATGATATGCAGTTAAATTAGGTAAATAATCACGAAAATTGCATGTAAATATAAAATGAAAAATTCAAACAAACACTGACCAGATTTCCTCATCCTTTCCAATTTCATACCAAACCACTGATCAGATTTCCTCAATATCCGCGTGTACACCATCAAGAGAGAAACATGAGAGGGTGACTCTAGGGGGATGGATCCATATCCACACGTAAGCACGACCAATTTAACGTGCTACCAGCCCGGCATGGTCACAGGCTCAATATCATAATCCGCCCAGCGTGGTCACAGGCACAACAACACAATGCGCCCGACGTGGTCACAAACATAATAATACAATTTGCCCGGTGTAGTCACATGCATAACAACACAATCCGCCTGGTATGGTCACAGGCATAACAATACAATCCGCCTGGTGTGGTCACAGGCACAACAACAATCCGCCCAGCGTGGTCACAGGCACAACAACAATCCGCCCAGCGTGGTCACAGGCACAATAATAATAATCCACCCGGGGTGGTCACAGGCACCCAGTCAAATCATAGCACATAGGAGCAAATAAATAAGAATATATGTACGTAAGGAATGAATATCAAATCTCATGCTCCTGGACTGGTATAAATGACATGCTAAAGTGTAGGCATGTGCAAAGTGTGCTATCATAGGTCAAACCGGCAATTTCATCATAGAATAGCATTTATCAAGTTCATTCAGGGATTAAACCTCTACGTAGCCTCCAACATGGCTCAAATAGCTCACAACAATGTTACAAAGGTGAGAAATATCATAGCTTAAAGCTTATCAATCAAATCTAGGCATATCATAACTTAAGCACAACCCGGGCATGGATAACTACCCCCGGTGTTAGCACATGGGCTCAAACCTCACACATGTGTGCACCCTATAGCACGTAGCTATCACAATAATTCAGGCAACTAGTGCCTCAACCAAGTTTAGATAAGATACTTATCTCAAGCAAACAAAATCCCTCCGCTAACAATCCCTTCCTGCGTGTATCAACCTCCGGAAGGCTCGAATCTAGCCAAAATAACATAATACTATCAATAAAAGCCATAGGGATTGATTCCAATTAATAAAGCTTAAAACTTTAACAAAAATAAAAAAGTCAACCCAAAATGTCAACCCTGGGTCCGCACCTCGGAACCCAATAAAATTCTCAAATTCCGAACATGCATTCAATTACGAGTCCAACCATGCCAAAATCATCCAATTCCAATCATAAATCAACCCTCAAATCTCACTCTCCAATAACATAGT